GAACCGCTCCGCGAAGCGTTTTTTTTCTTTATGCAAGTTACACGGAGCGGAGCGGAGCGTTTTTTTTCATTTAAAAATGTCACGGAGCGGAGCGGAGCGGTATATCTGAGGGCAAAAATCCCACGGAGCGGAGCGTTTTTTTTTCATGTCGCGGAGCAGTAGTGCGTTTTTCTTCACGGAGCGGTTTTGTTTACTTCGTAGCATAAGCCGCGCGAAACCGTGGCCTTGAGGACGGTTTTTCGTCGGAAAAACCCGTCGAAACCTCACGGATATCCGTTCCAAGTCGACGGAGTACCTGCAGTCTTGTGAAAACGTTGAGAGTGTTACACCGAGAAGCGTTTTTTTCCGCACGGTGTGCTGTGGTTGGAGGCCGCCAGTGACACCGTGTGCGTCCTCGCAGCTAGGACAGCCCAATTAATCAATTATTCCGAAAGGGACCGTTCCCCGCATCGATACCTCCTCGACTCCTTTGTTCCTGCAACACGTGAAACAGCAGATGATACCTCGCTTGCCTCTTGTTGAAACTTGCCAGTACCAATAACACCTCATACGTTACAGAGACAAGGCTATTCTACGATATTCCAGGCAAATTCACTCTCACGTGCGCAGATCACTAGCTAATTTGCGAGTTCGATTGTAGACATGTGCCAAGCGTTCCATCATCAACACAAGCGAGCAAGCAGCGATATTCTATCATCCGGTCAGGCATGCATGGCAGCAGGCGTGGTCATGACTCACAGATGCGATATCAGGTCAATAGCGCTCAGGTCGGGTTCGTTCACAAATGTTTCGTGCTCAGTTTCCGGATACCAAGGTCACTGAGAGCCAGGTGCTACCTCTCATCGGAGAAACCATGTCATCATTGGCGGGATTGGTTGGCCAATGGCAATTGGGCCGTTGGTTCCATGATTGCTGCGAAGGACGGTTTACAGATGGCGCCATCTCACATAGTCTAGAGACTATGTCCGTCAGTCGCGCTGGTTTCGCGAAGTGTGCTTCGATGAACAACACCTTTGCCTTGAACAAAGTACGCTGCCTCGCTTAACCCACACGACCCCGCGCACTCTTCTGGCGATCCAAAATGCGACGATACTCCGAGTAGGGCGGCGGTGCCATCACTTCCCCACCCCCACACCGCCATCTCTCCATCTAGCTCTACCTCTCTTTGCGATTGGCTTGATTCGAGACGGGTGGGGAAGCCTGCATGTTCTTCTCTTGGATCTACACACTCGTGGCAGGTGCGGTGCATCGGTCGATGCTCCACCTCCTCACACATTCGGTACAGGGGTCCACCGCAGCCACCACGGCATACATGTCGCATGGTCGCCCCGGTGGTCTAATGGGTAGCCGCGCAGCCTGACAAGGGCCAGGTCATGGGTTCGAGTCCCGACAGAGAGAGTTTTTTTTCTCACTAAATAAATCCTGGTCTAGGATGAAAGCGACGCGCTGCAAAGCTCGTTTGTTAGTAAACCATAATCGACTTCGTAAGTCGCGAGGGAAGGGATTGATGTACCCTTCTCGCGATAAAAATACCTCAGGCATGAACCGCAGGAGGGGGTCCAACCCCCCCCCTCCCCTCCCATGTGACCCCGGTTGGGTCGTCTAGCTAGTAGAAGTGGAGGATAGGGGCCAGAGGGGCAGACGACAGAGTCCAATGATGGGAGAAAAACAAACAAAAAAAAACAACATGCCCCTGGGGTGCCCGCAGTTCAACATCCGGCTGTTTCCACAACTCTCCCATCGGCCCACGGCATGTTGCGTGTGTAGACTATCCGTGTCCCGCAATGTTGTGTCTTTGGGGGAGGAACGCGGGGTCTCCTCAAAAGTTGAAACGATGGTCGCTATTGCCGGTCGCCCCGGTGGTCTAGTGGTATCCTCGTAATCCGCTAGTCGCAGAGGTCGTGAGTTTGGATCCCCATGGGGTGAAAAAATCACGAAAATTTCGGGTGAAAGCAAAATATAGCTAAAAAGCTCTCGTGAGTACCAAACTTCGACGTTAGCACCGTTGACGAGGGAAAGGGACGGGCTGGACCCATCTCGCGATAGAAATAAAATTCAGCACGCACCGACCACAGGAGGAAGGTGGGGCATGAAAAGAAATCAAACAGGTACCTACAGCCCTGGTGTTTCCCCCCTGCTGTGTGTGGCCCTGGATGGTTGTTGTAAGAAAAATACACTGAGAAGTGTAGCGCTGAAAACTGTAGTAGTATACGTCTCACCACGAAAAATGGGGGGACGGTCGCCATAATAATAAATAGAACGAAAGCACACATACACTACTAGCGCGGTCGATGCTAATAATAAAAACACACATTGCCTTTTTTGTGTTTTCAACCGCACTAAGACTGACGTCTTTTCATTGGTCAGCCGGTTAGCGCGGTCGATGCTAATAATAAAAAAAAACACACACACACACATTACCTGATGAAAACTGTCCAATAAGTCGTTATTGAAGCTTCGACAGGGTTTAGCGCCCACTAAACCTGGGTGCAGCGGTGTCACGAGATTTGGGCGTCGCCAAACAGGGGTCGCTAAACCGGGGCCCCCACTGTAGTATCTGCATGTAGTTTGTTTGTAGTCCACAATATTGTACAGCGAGTAGTGGAGACTTAGTCTAGATGTGCATAAATTGTTCTCAATGTAGTAATTAATGTACTTTAGATAGAGGATTTTTCCGAATAGAGAATAATGTGGAGGATACCGGTCGGAATAGATAACCAACCATTTGTGCACATACAAGATGTAGGAAGATATGATTCCTCGGGGTAACTTGCCATTGGGAGAAGTGGCAAGTAAAACACCGAGGAGATTTGTCTCTTCCGAAGTCCATGGCCGATTGCCGAGGGAAGAGATGGGGAGCCTCCGGCCGTCCTCTCTCGACCCTCTGGTCACTCTTTTTCTACCTTCCTCTCCTCGTTACATATCACGAAACGGAAATAGCCACCCTTGTTCGGCAGTGGGAGAATACTGCGAGAGTACCGGCCTCTGTCTCCGACAGGGACTAGTAACGTCAAGTCGACTATATCCAAGCACTACATACCCCTTGGAGATAATACCCCATTCGAAGGGATGCGTCGAAGTTGTGCAAGGTATAATGTTCAAACAAACTGTTCCAGTATCCAGCAGGTTTTCCTCTCAACTGTTGTGAAAGCAGCGATCAGCAGTGATACCGTGATGCCTGATGCGAGATCTAGCCAAACGAGGAACTCGAAACGGTACAAATTACGCCGCGTTTTTGCGAGGTTTGACTGTCGGGCATGACAGCCCACAATTACCTAATTGCCGGCGTGAACCAGGAATATCGTGCTCACGGCTATGCAGCGATCTCTCGCTTGGCATCGCTTCGTTCAGTAGGTCTCAAGTTTGGTGGGTTGGCTGAAGCGGAAGCTGGGAAAGAAGTGCGTTGTGGTCTACTGCAAAACCTGACCTGCAGGCAAGACGGAATATGGATAGCGAGAGCGCAATCTCAAAGACACTCTGCGCAACGGATCTCGTGCCGGGCACTGAAGCTGTCTCAAGCGGTGGTCCAGCTTAGGAGGGACAACTCTTACCAAAAGCAGCAGCCTGTGCGGTTCTCGGGTGCCAGGAAACCGTGTCGGGCACCACCTGTGCGATTCAGCCAGCCGAGGTGCAACTGGGGTCGATCTCGAAGCCAGATCATCACCTGCTGCCATTGCTTGAGGATGCCCACCAAGAAATACATGAAGTCAAGGAGATTGGTGAGGACCCAGCAAGTACTGACGCAAGAGATGGGAGCTTTGACAAGCTTGATGGGTTAAACGAGACGGATTGCGCGGGTATGGCTGATTCATTGGATTTGCAGGTCGAGAATTCGCACGGGAATGATCAGGGGTCACCACGCGATATCACTGCCACTGCTGACGATACACACTCACCCGGCCTCGTGGGTTGCGGGAATCTCAACGCTGACGAGGTTTCTGATGACCTGAGCACTGGTAACATCAAGTTCGTGGAGCCGCCAAAGGAGAACTGCTTAGAGGGGGTCAACGGTTCGCCTGCAAGTCAAGCGGAAGATGGGCGGACCGCTACTACCCATGATACCATTGAGTCAACAACCGATGAAGATCTTGTAAAATACGGAGACAGTCGAACCCAAGCCGCCCAGACAGACATAGAACAGATCGATGACGCTGATACTTTTGAAGAAATCCTTAAAGAAGCTATGCGGCAGAGTGACGCTGAAAGAGCGGACGATAGAAAATATGCGAGCGCATTTCAAAGGATGATGCAGTCAGCCCCGCTCCCACGACACCATCACATGTCGCCGCATCAGTCCGGTTGGACGCTCGAACCAAGCCCACCAGCGAATCCTACGGCAGCAGAGAGCCTTGCGAGCAGCGGTGACCAGAGCGAACACCGACAAAGAAGTGGTGCTGAACGCAATACAAAGGAGGAGGGCACACCTATGGGCATCGATCCAAGGTTGCCGTTGACTTTCCCTCCCGTCCCGGAGCCTAAAGTTATTGCTCGTCAGTGGGTGAGATACGTCAGCCCAGAAGGCTACCCGTACTTATATGATGAAGTTACTGGCGACAGTGAGTGGGTCGTCTCCGGTGAGGGGGAGGGAATCATAGAGGAGAACGAGCAGCAGCAGGCATCCGTGGCCCAAGCACCCACTGGTGTCACAAATGGAGGTGCGGCGCAAGGGGAGCCAGGAAACAGGGGGGCAGATATCAGCGCCAGGGATAAGGAAGCGGGTCCAGATGGAACCGTCCGCACCAAGATGGAGGGGCAAGGTTTTAAAACATTTACTGCTGCGGAAAACGATTCAGTCGGTACTTGTGAGGTATCACAGTGGTCCCAAGATACTTCTGATCCTGATGCGAGGTAACGGCAACATGGAGAACCAAACTCTACCCTCGCCTTGATGTCCAATGAAGCACAATACCCATGTTCATTCTTCACCGTTGGGAGCACCTATTCGGCCAACTAAGGCCAAACATCTTTGATCGCCTGTCGTCGTCACTCTTGAATATCGAATGAAGTCTACGTGTGCGTTCTATGCTCTTGACAGGAACTCGGCTGGAGAAACAGCCATGCACCTCGCAGCAACTCAACACTCTCTCCGCGGACTATCGCTGCTCTTAGCTTGCGGGGCAAGGATCAACGCAATTGATGGCAGGGGTAGAACACCACTTCACGCAGTGTGCGCGAGCGTCTGCGACAACGGTGACTCCGGTAGTGATTCCACCATTGGGTGCATCGAGCTGCTCTTATCCTCTGGAGCTTTGGATGACGCTCGTGACGCCATGGGTCAGACCGCGTTGCATCTCTCCGCGCTTGCTGGTAATCTGGGTGCAGCGCAAGCCTTACTTGCGGCGGGTGCCACGATGATGACCGATGACGCTGGAAATTCGCCGCTTCACGTGGCCGCTGCGCAAGGTCATTCCGACATTATCCAGTTGTTCGTTCTTGGGGGTCAGGACGAATCGGCTCGGAAGGTGCAGGCCTCATCACATGCAGAAGGCAGACCGAACGGCCGTACTCCTGCGGACATTGGACGACTCCGCTCTGCACATGATGATGGTTCATGTCCAGATAGGAACGGGTCAGGAATTGATCCGGTCGGTGACCGTGAAAAGGAAACATCGCAGGCTGATGGAGTGGCTTTCGGCGATGGCGATTTACGTTTACACCATCGAAGCATCACGCATCAAGTACGAGAGTTCGGAGTCAAAAACAAATATCAGGAAGTAGCGCTGGAAAAGAGGGACGGGCGTTCTCGCAACAAGGACTCCGATTCTACGTGTCATGACCCAACGAGGGGAACCGCACGTTCTGTGGGACACGTGTACAATTGGGGCGAACCTGCACCCCCTAAATCAACCCTTTGCGACATTGTCGATGACCCTTGTCGACAACGTTTCCACCGTGAAATGATGGAGCCGGGTTGGCAGAGCCGGACCGATACTCACAACCGATTGTCCGTAAATTCCACCCAAGATTATAGTAGGGCCAGTGAGGATGACAGCAACGACCGCAGCAGGCTCGGCCGCCTTGGTCCGGATTACGAACATCGTCGGCGCTCAGAAGGGAAGGGGATGAACCGGAAGCACAGCACGCGGTCACGACGCCGACGCGAATGCGATCGACGAGACCGAACTCTCCGCTGGCCGGAGGCCCTACCCGCGCGCGGATACGACGAGGTGACGATCTCATTAGCCGCCCTGATGTTGACTGCAGGCGGCGATGAAGTTCATGTTTCCGACACTACAGCTATTTTTCGACCTATTGGTAGCAATGCGATCTGCCACGCTGAGCAGCACTGAGCAAACAGGAGCAGCAAGAGGCTCTGAAACCCGTTTTGGGCGGGCCGACAGTTGCACCAAATCTATGCTTCGCAGGGGGGGGGGGGATGTACTCATAGTCGTGCATGCCGTAGTCGTTAGACCATTGACCTCGCATCCCTACAAAGCCGGGACGGAGCACGCCGGGTTCTCACCGGACCAGGCTCTCACATCACCAAGCGCGAAGCGCCGTGAGGTGTTCGGCGAGTCGCATGAAGGGTGCGCTGCATCCTGGTGACGGTGTTCGGCATCTTGTGCTTACTTCCTTGCGTACGGATGACAGCTGCGTATGACTTAATTTATTTTCTGGTGCTTTCACTTCCAGAGACAGTTGTAAGCACTGTGTAACTGCCTCGAGGGTGCTTGACCATTTTAACACAACGTGGTGCGATCATCCCCCTTGCGCGGAGTGAGGGTTCTCCACCCCGCACAACATGATCTACTCGACCACCATTATGGTTACCGCCAAAAAATAACAGAGGTAATTAAAAAAAAAAGGAACCTGGTTGCCGAGCTCACGAAGTGAATTGGCTTGTTTTACAACGTCGTTGCCAAGCGACGAAAACCCAATCCCGATGGCAAACACCGGGGGGGAGGGAAGGGGGTAATCTCAAGTACCAAGTGGAGCTGAAGGGAGTGTGACGAGGTTTCTCATTTGAGGCCATGATCGGGGCCATGCTGGCGGTGCACGACACCGAAAACCAGCAATAAATGACGCGTGGCGGGCCGCTCTTCTTGTAGGCGTCTGCGAGCAATTTCTCTCCACAGGAGGGCAAATAGGAAGCATAATCGATTGAAGAGAGATACAAGAAAAAAAAAAAGAGGGAGAATATTTGCTTGTATGGTGCCATAACAACACCTACGTGTTGGCGTATGCGAGGCTCTCATAGTCTTCCGCTCTCGTGGTTCAACTGTAGGTGACGAAGTCGCTCTTTTCGTTGTGCAAACTATGTGCTGTGGCACGAGTCGAAATCGCTGCTGCTGGGTGTGAAGCAGTGCTAGTTGCGAGATGTTCAGGGATCTGTGGACTGATACTGTGCGTTCTTGACGTGCTCCACGCGACAGGTCATGGGAGCCGTCCTCGCGGAGGGAGGAGACAACTCCCGCGTACCATCGTGCTCGGCATTGTCTACAGCCCTGTTCGCTGCTACGTTGGCGTCACGTTACAACGACGCAGCGGCCGTGATCCGTCTTCTGGAAGTCTGCGGGCGTGGGATAGCAGACGTGCGCGACGACAACGGCCGGACACCCCTTCATCATGCCTGCCGCGGAGACGACGCTGGATTAGTCCGCCTTCTCCGGCGGGCTGGAGCCGATCCCGACGCTCACGACTGCCAGGTATAGCCAGAAGTTGGTACCAACCTTTGGACACGTAATTTATATACTTGAATATTGAAGCCTAAAAACTGCCTTACACTCGTTTTTTACGGTGGAATCCATTTTTTCAAATGCTGTTGCTTATCTTTTGTGCATTTATTCTAGCAAAGACTCTAGAACATGGAGTTCTTGAGAGGGCAGTACAACGGAACAGACAGAATCCCCACACGGGTACACAGACTGGGTTTGGGAGCGCAGGGGGAGGCGACCAAACCAAGTACACCGCCGTTCATGAACGTTGACGATAACTTGAAGTCATCCCCAAATAACAACGTGATGGAAAGCAACGAATCGCTTCCCGATACCCGCTATCTCGTCGCCCCGAAACGTGTTCGCAGTCACAGTTTTCCCATGTTCTATTGTGTATTGCTGATCGTTTCTACAGGGGAACTCGCCCTTAGCAGTGGCCGCTGCCACGGGGAGTCTGGCATGTCTGCAACTCTTGATTCAGGGAGGAAGCGACGTCAACAGCGCCAACGAAGCTGAGGACACACCGCTACACCTTGCGGTGGGATTCAGTAGCGTCCCGAACGATAGAGTGGGTACATGTACCCACCCGAATACGTTCCACCCGGGGAATGCTATCAATCATGTGGCCTCGGAGCCATCATTGGGCGTACGTTGTCTTGAATATGTTCATCAAGGCCGACGACGCTCTGCCTCCTTTCCCACCAACACGCTTGATCTTGGCCCGATCCAGGTACGGCACGGCAATCTTTCGTGTGTCAAAGCACTAGTGGAGGGTGGTGCGAAGCTCAGTCGGCGTAACACCCTGGGATTTACCCCCAGGGAAGATCTGCTCAACTCAGAAACCATGTTTGCTAGGGGCCGGTTGCCCAAGGTTCTTCGAGCAACGTTGGCCTACGTTCAAGACGCCGAGGTTAGCTCATTCAAAGGAATACCGAAAATATACATGCAATTTTTCACTCCGAGCACCGTCTACGTGCTATGATCTTCTTTCGACGAGGAAGAGAAACGACAAGCCCTTTCGAATCAACCTCTTTGCCTGCCTTTTCCTTGTCGCTTCCTTGGTTTCGAGAATAAGCAATCACCGATGGACCATCTTTGCCCGTCTTCTGCCCCCCGACCTGCTGTTGAATTGCAGGCCTCAGCACCACAGCCCCAATGGCAGGCATCAGCACCACAGTCCCAGTCCCCAACATGGACAGCTCAGGATGGCTACGGATCTGAAGACACACCGGCCACAGCCGTTTCTTCTCGCCGAAGCTCCATCGGTGGTCACTTTCGCCACGCCTTCGACGCTAACTTCGACTCCGACGCCCAACCCCCTTCCGAGGGAGAGAGACCGCTTCAGCAAATTAACACTGCCAGCGCTAGTGGGAAAGAAACCGAGGCCTTGCATTACTACAGGCATCACGCGAAGGGGAAAGCGCACGCAACCGCTACGGATCGGCTAGAGCGCAATCGTGATTGGGATCTTCGGGAATTGCAAGGAAGCGGGAACGTTCTTGAGAGGCGGAATGAAGACGAGTCTGTTTCCAACGGCAGCCGTCGAGGGAATTGCAATAGGTTGGTACCGGTCTCTATGGTACTTGACTGGGCAACAGATCCTTTATTCGGGTAGTTCCGGGGTGTGAGGTGTTCTTGAAGTTCAACTCGTGAAACTCTGGAAGGACCACACAAACCGTTGACATTTGTCGCATTAATGAGTCGACCCCTGGCACGTGCGGCCAATGGACAGAGAGGTTAGCAAGACCACTAACGTAGAACAACACTGGTACTGAACGAATGGAAGGCAAGCGTCTCGTAAAAACGTTTTTTGCCATTTCATCGGATGGATTTGCCCCAAGCCTATGTAGACTACGGTAGGGTTCTTTTGGATCCTGAAAGACATGTCTTACAGGAGACGCCTGTTCTTGTGCATGATTTTGGTTCCATGGACAGGCCCGTATCTGACAACAACGCCGCACATTTTGGGAGCGACAGCAATAGCTTCAGAGGGAGCGAGTCAGTCGGTGGACACTTGCACGAGAAACCGCCAATCGATGCTGCTAGTGTGGTTCCGTCTAAACTACGAGGCGGTGTATGGAGCGCCGTCAGCCGAGTTATCGATACTCTCATCGGCACCGGCGGTGGTAGAGGTTACGTTCAAGACCAACCTGGACCGGAACCTGAAGGCGACCATTCGGAACATGGTGATGTCGACATGCACCGTCACCAGCGGCCTCCAACGGATGCTGAACTGAGAGCGAGGATGGCGCATTCTCTGTCGTCAACGTCAGGATCCCGACGCTCGGAGGTGGGGTCCTTGGGGATGCCGGGCTCCGTACCACTCGGTACCCAGGAACGGGGTTCGCTCCACACAGCGGAACAGCTCCAAGTCAACGTCACGAAGAAGTTGCCGATTTCGTTGACTCCGATGCAGCCTCCTCCTGATGTTCTCGCGGCGATGAAAGGCCTGTCGGCAAGGGGGATGGGGCGCCCCCGGTTTGCAGCTCCCCCGGCTGATATATCGGCGGCATTGGAGAACAATCAAGTGTCCAGCAAGCGTGGTGGCCTCGGTGCGTTCGAGGATGTTGGAGGAGGCAACCGAATTTCTGCGGGTGGTGATGCCGCTCCCATGTGAGAGAGATAGAGCGAACACCATAGTGGTGGGTAGCGCAGTCAGGGGGAGGCTTGTGCACCGTCGAAAAAATTGTTCCTGCCGCACGCTTGTGTCGTGAGTTGCTTCACTGCTTGCTAAATTGTTGATCATTGGTACTAGCTTACTTGATTGCAATGGCCAACAACGTTAGAGGCTGCTGTCCGATCGACTAGAATTTCACAACCAACTCGCTTGCTGCGGTGTCTACTTCAAGCATGCGACGTCGATACACGTCGGTGTTTCGCTGCCGTTTCAAACTTCGTACTTCTTCGTATTCGCAATCATCGCCCAAGCGTGTTCACAAGCCGCAGTCACAACGCCAGACTGAGCAAAGACAAGGTCCATGTACACCTCGTCCAAAATAAATATTCTGCTCGCGGTAGTTCGCCGGCCGCGTTACCGCTCGACCTAACCCCTTCAGTACGAAGATCGGCATATGCACCCCTTTACACTTCCAGCTTGAATCCGAAGTGTATTCGACATCTAGTCGTGAAGAATTTCACCAGTTGAAGACTACAGAATCCGACGCCCGTCGACGCCTGGCCTGGGCATAATTGTGTCTCTGCGCAGCTCTACATCTGCATCGCCTAGATTGCAGTCGCAGGAAAGGCGACGTAGGAAACAACTGCATACGAACGAGGGCCAGAGTCATGGACATCGCCAAACCCGGGAACCGTTCTCTCTGAGCGAAGCGGGCGGCATGGGGAAGCAGGGCGACCGCGTAGCGCATGCGATGCACACCGACTATTTTGAGGCACGCGAGCGGGTGCGTGGGACGGACGGGGTGTAGCAGGGAACGTGTTCGTCATCGGAAGGGCGTTCGCCAATATCAAGCTTGGGTTTCGACCGCCTCAACTATACAAACGGGCCTTGACACTGGAGGACGTGAAAAAACACAGCAGCACGATTCGGAAATTCTTCATCCCATCGTGTACCGTCGCTTGAAGTTTTTGCCTACTCGTAAGTCTTCGTTGATTATCTTGTAGAAAAGCTCCGATTCGGAGTCACACAGACGTGTTTTTCTGCTGTGCAGTCTTGTATTCATTCCACAAGGAGGGATCAGCAGTTCCTCCCCGGAAGGGTGTTCACCACGTCTTTCGTTTAGTGTTCGACTCGCCACAGGCAATTAGATATACTGAGGCGACCGAAAGAACCGCATGAGGTGATTTTGGAGCTTCTTACCTACCATAAATCAGACTTGAACACAGACACCCACTCATCCATGTCTGTGACCTCAGTCGCAGGATTGTCAGTAAGGGCATGGCTTCTCTCTGTGACATCGCGGCGCTGTCATGCACATTTGCCAATGTTCTTGATTAAAGGAACAACTTACAATCCACAAGTAGTCCCTTGCACAAACCCCACAACCTGCTTCTCGATGCGGGCTTACCTACGTACACCGACAACCACCTGCTCTCCAATACCATTTTCCACATCAAGATAAAGAACCTTAGGCAAGCTCGATTGTTGAGCACGACCGTCAAATCCAACCCATTTCTGCCAAGTACTACTCCATAAACCTGTTTTCTATACAAACGCCGGCTCTCTCTTTCTACGCCAACAAAAACAGGATGGCCTATGCACCATTTTCCATGTCTCCCCTCGAAATGGCCAAGCGAAACTGCCCCTTCTAATACATGCAATATTTCAAATGGAAACTTAATGCTATGACCGCTTCCTTCCAGCCACAACATTTTCATCTCTTACGTACACCCCACTCGCCGCCGTTGAGCCACTACTCCTTTCGCGGTAACTCAGTCATCGCGTAGCGTATTCAATCATCGCGTAGCCTCGCATTGATCTCGTCCTCGGTAGGCATCGGGGGCATGACGAACGGCTCCTCGCCCTCCTCGAGATCGTCATTGATTGTGTCCCAGTCAAAGTCATCGTCGTCCTCGACGCCATGATCCTTTGCGACAACTCGTTTATCCTGGAGGGTAACTCGTTGTTGCACTTCTCTGATCTTGTTCTGCGCCGTGAAGCTCACAACGGCGGGTTGGGGCTTCGAGTCGTACGTTTTTTCCAGCTGAAACCCTTTCCCATCAATGTCGAGATACAACTGACCAACAGCCAAAAACATCAGGAGGGAGATGCGACAATGGGTAGAGTTATACTTCTTGATATACGTTTTACAAGCGAGGCCGGCGGCACCGATAACCAAAGGCAGAACATGACGAGACTGCTCCGGTATCCAGGCATACACAGCAAGCTGTCATACCCAAAATCCAAAGAATACGCACCCGCCAAAATGCAAGGGCGTTCACGCTTATGAAGCATAAAGGAGCGGATCGCAGAAATAAATCGGCTCGACGACATATAAGTCCTGCTTTGTCGCTTCATCTGGTGTGTCAAGACAACATCCCTACAAGCTTAGTACGTTGTCCATATGGCACAGAATTTTGCAGGTCCGGTCGACGCTGCCTTGATGGCTGCATTGTACACCCAGCCACTCTAAATGACGTTTGCATCACATGACATTACATTACCTTGAAGTCGCCGGGGAAGGCTCGGGTAACAAGAACCCGTGGAATCACCTGCCCAAGCTCGCTATAAATTGTCTGCTGGTTCTGCCCCAGCCGTGTCAGCCGAAGGTTCTTGATCCTTTTCTACGCGACGGCATGAGAGGGGAGGACGGACGCCCGTATCGTACCAAATTGTTGGTCGTGGATATACCGTCGGCGGCACGCCAAAAAGGATGGGTCTCGTTGTTACGGCATCATCGACACGGAAGCTGATACCGCCGTGTCGCATACACATCTGAAATCTGTGCACAATGGTGCCTTGTCTGGGTAGCCTTAATTGTCGGGGTAGCCTTTGATATCAACCCTGAGGAACAGAGGCATGCACCCTTCGGTAACGCCATGTATTCCACTGTGCACAATGGGATGGTCGGGTGCCTCACGACGGGATTTCTTTCCTATTTTCGTTCCATCGATTCTGAGCACCAGCTTTAGGTTCAGTACGTTTGGTCCTGTATTTGACGCACCAGCCGGTATTACACATGTGAGGAAGGAAACACAGGGTGTGTTTTTCCTCTACAGTTCTTCCAACGGTGATTGCCTCCAAAATGCAACTGTTCACGCTAGAAGGGTTCAGCAATCCCTTCCCGCTTCGTTCTGTTAACTCACGCCTATGCGCTGTTCAAATGCGAGTTGATTTACTCTGGATAGACTCGCATCCACAACCTAGCGCCAATTCTGCAAAGTTACAGGCGGAACTACTCTGGTACCGTAGCATGACCAAGCCCATAAAGAAGCGCTGAAAATGAAACAACATTAGCACAAGACGAACACAAGGAGAAGATGGGGTGGATATCATTGGAGAGCANAGAGAGAGAGAGAGAGAGAGAGAGAGAGAGAGAGAGCGAGAGAGGGAGACAGGGAGAGACAGAAAGAGAATGCAACTACGCCTCATGTTCGTGGCCGACTCAGCAAACGTTATCCTTGCTCCCGCGCTATCCCAATGACATCACAAGACACAATGAAAAACATCACCGACAGCACCCCCCCCCCGCCCTCACCTTGGGGTTCGTCGGGACGGGTTGCACGTTGTACTGCTTAAGTTGGTAAACTGTTTCGAACCCGTCCGTCTCCACCGGCATGTACGGCATCCGGGGTGTTATGAGGACCACCGGTCGGCCCTTGGCGGCAAGAATGATCTGTGCACGCGACACGGCACCAACCGAGTTGCATGGCGACATGATGACGAAACACCGTGTAAAGATGAGAACAGACAGACAGGCATACTGCAAGGCCGTTAGCCCAACGAGAGCGGTTGGCACCGCCTCTGTGGTCATGAGATTTAGTCCAAGGCACGACCCAAGTAGGTGTCATGTGCGTATGCTTCTCGCTCTGACACCGGTTGTGCACAGAACTGTGCACAACCGACGTGTGTTTATTGACCAGAAAATATCATGTACATAATGCTGTGGACTGCCTGCTCTCCAACTATGACGACGATGAGACTAGCAGCCACTTTACGACCGTCGGTTCAAGTACACCAGCTTGTGCACGGTACCATCGAGACAAGAGACAAAACATACGCACATGCATTTTGCATACCAAATCGAGCGCATCTGGAGAGCATCGATCAAACGAAGTCTTCGCGCAAGAATCCAGGGCTATCTGGATGAAGACGACAAACGTTCAAGCATAGCATTCCTGAACGCTGTCACCGCAGAGCCGGCCGCAACTCTTCTGCAATGTTAAAAATGAAACCACACCGCACGACAGAAACTTGGGTCTCCTTACCTCTCTGAGTACTGTGACGTCTACGAGACGCCGAGGGCACACCATCAAAAACACTCGTTCTTCTTCGTTGGCAAGTCCCAATGTCGACGCGAAATCGCGCATGCTGGAACGAAAAAAGAACACCGCCGCGGGCCGAGCATACATTCGTGTTGGTCGAGTGCCGCACTTGCAGAGCTGGAAATGGCGGGGATGGAGATCCGAGGCTTGTCTTCGGTTGCGACAAGGACCAAGACAGCAGCAGTTACTGTTGTGCGCGCCGTACACCACACCAGTTGGATACTTGCGGTATTCATCCGACTGAAGCCGGTGGTACGGTACAGGTATCGGTACAGACTAGGAAGAGCACGATCGATGTCCACACATTGGAATCTACCAGCACCCACGGAAACCTCATTCAGCTGTTGCCGAGAACACAAACTGGTTATGACACTACTCGAAGCACCTACCATAGTGTAAATGACATTTAGTATTACGTGCGTGTACATCATTTGCTGTCGTTCATGTCACACTTACATCGTCTATGCTTCATATCATAGTCTGTGTCGCAATACTCGTCCTGTCATACTTCTACAATACCTCTGTTCGTCGTCTTCGTCGTCGGTGTTGGCCATCTGAAAGGAGCAGAAAGATATGTCGCGCCGTGGCTCGATCCCCTCTTCCTCCCCTCTGGTGTTCGCTTTCTGTTCCCGTCAGCATTCAACGGGGAAGTTCAAGCAGGGATACCGCATACCGGTATGATACAAGGAAACACACCTCGGTCGTATGGCTCCAAAAGAAAAACCTCATGCTTTGTGCATGTAGGGGTATGTAGTACTCTTTGTCGCCCCAGCATTTGACGTGATCACTTGGCGTGAGAGCAGCGCTTGATGCTTCCAGCTCATGTTTTCCCTTAAATGTTTATGCCATTGGGTGCGGTATTGCGCGGGTTGTGAGCTATCATATGTTGGTGGGGTATCTCTACCTTGTGTCGTGTACGTTAGGCGCTCGCCCACGGCGTTCGTTGTCAAAGAGATCAACTGCGTTGCAATGACTGCCCAAATGACGGGTGAGAGCTTCTGACACGATGAAAACCTACCATGTGTATATGGTATTCCATAAGTAAGACCTGAGGGGGGATTACGATCGAGCGTAGAGTTGCGCAAATACTGAAGGCGGGATGTCGGGTCGGATTCCCCGTAGATATCTACGCGACACGCATACGGCTGAGCCAAACCATGCGGGAGTTTTCGGGATGATACATTATCAGCATCGGCATGGTGTCGCTATCACACACAACTCGCGGTCAATACTCGTGATATTGGTACATGCTCATTGAAGCAAACGGACACAACGCGTAGCGTGTCCTGTGCGGTGCGGTGTCAGGCTATCCATCATGGCACACCTGGAGCATTTCCGTCGCCTTCTCCGCCAGATGAATTCCTCTGAGCAACACCTTCACTCTTCCGGAGACAGTCGCCAAAGCCTTGGCAATGTCTGTGACGAAGTCGATCTGCATCTCCTCGTCGAACTCTGCGTGCGTGTCGTCCATTTGTCTTACCTGTCGAGCCAGACCAGGCCAGGCCAAGAGAGCAAACAACGGTGCGGCAGTCAAAATGTGACGTTGATTCCGCGTTGTCAAGCCCACCGACTCAACCGCACAATACTGCGAGCTCTAGGTCCGGTGCTCGCAACTCTCAAGTCTAATCATGTAACTTTCGTACCTGATAGTTTCCGTGAAAGCTTTGTCAGTTCACGGAATAGTCAAAGAGTAGTCCATCAATTACCTCGACATCGATGATCAGGCCTCGTTTCCCGGCCAAGAGCGCTTGCTGGCTAGCGGAGGAAGCTTCTAGGGCACCTCTGTCGCTGCTCGTTGGAAACGGATTCTCCCGCTTCGTCTCCGCCCCCTACGCGAAGAAAACAGTAAGCACCGCCGAGGGAAGGCTACGGATGTACAGACTTGTGAAAGACTTGTGTTTACAGTGTTGGCATGAGCAGCAGCAGCTGCAACAGCAGCGGCACCATAGAACAGGGCGCGTTTCATGTATGTACTGACGGTGATAAAGTTTGGGCTACAAAAATACCTTGCAAGTATTAAAGAATGGACCACGCAAGGGATGGGATGGCGGAGCATGATGTGCGGTCCAATCACGTCGAATGAACATTTGGTCAAAGAGTCATGAGTTGGAGACGCCTTGTGCAAGGGCATCCCTAAATACCAGCTAAAACCAAGTTGAAAATATGCTCCAAGCAGCCGGGGCGGTGTTTGGCCCGATTTCCATGTAAACAACCGAGACAGGGCTTGCTTCTGTTGTTGTTGTTGTTGTTGTCGTCACATTAAAAACCGTTCCGATCTCTCTCTACCCAGTACCTTCGTATGTCCGTACTGATACAACACTCGACGCGGTCGATTCCCGTGGTCGCAGGCTAACTTACCCTTCAAAGGTACACTCAAATAAAATGGCCGGGGTCCGCAAGTCAATAGACATCATTGGTATTATGCCCCCAAACGGCGTTGTGTAGATTCTTCTCTTTTTCTGCCCAACCAGACAACGGCTACACCCCTTCGTTCGGTGGCCTGGTGTGGGGCCAGCAGCGAAGTACGCATGCTCTTCGTCATTGCCCACCAACAACGACTCACCTCAATCAACGTTGCCGCTCAGGGCAACTGCTTCTCGGCGGAGGCTCGCAAGTAGCGTAGGTACAACTGTAGTAGCGGGATTACTGTCACTCTGCTCTCCGCCCTCATCTGCTGTGTCGAGGCATCTGCAGAACGGCTATATCTGTGTATATCTGTGTTGTAGCATCGTACTGCTGTGCCCTATTCTTTGAATTATCGCGGTTTAGGCCTCGAATGCTCTGCTGCTACTGTACATGCACAATGCGGAGGTGAGGCATGCTACAATGCTAAAATGAGAACCGCGGAACACTACCAATTGCCTCTCTCTTGCTGGAGCTGCTGGTCTCCGGCAGCTGTATGACCTGCTGTACATGTTCCACCTCCTGTTCCATCCTGAAACCTGATACATAACGAGGGACGGCACGAAGAACTATTTGTGATGCATAGAGCAACAGTCTCCCAGGACTGACCTTGGCCGAGTCTCTGTCGATGACCTACCTCTCCCTCAAGCTCCGGCAGTGCCTGACGAACTTCCCGCAACAATTGGCCATCATCATCCTCTTCCTCTTCCTCGTCCTGACCACTCGAACCAGCAGACGATGCCCACATTCTCTCTAACGATTCTCGCGCCTCCCGCGCCGCTGCTGCAGCATCATCGTCATCGCCGTTCCCTTTCCCCATGTAGTCTCCTACGGTACCTCCCGCCAGGGGGGTCGTGTGCCTAACCTGGTGCCGGGAGAGGGCTCGAGCAGGGCCCGTGCCAGGAAAAATCCATGCTGACGTTGTTGTTGAAGACCCTAAAATCAGGCAGAATAATCGTGAGGCGTGTCCACCTACCATGGAAACAGTTTCTACGTGTTATGCAAGGCGACCAATGTTCCTTCTGAAAGGAGGGAGAGACGTGGCGGTGTGTACGCGAGACAAAGGACAGAGGTGTCCCAGCTTTGCCCTCGCTTGTGGAATGCGGCGTAAGTAGAAAACGTGCCGTCGGGACCGTCATTTCTGGCCCCGGGTAGAAACGCGTTGTTTTGTTGCACCGCGCAACTCACGCCATCCACCGCTCTGGACCTTTGACTTTGGACGCGCACCTAGAAAGTGAGGTACTGTGCACGTGCTCTCCTACCCGGAAGAGATACGCGTGACGCCATCACCATGGGTGACGGGGAGCACAGGATGGCGGTCAATCTATCGAAACTGCAGGTCTGGACGCCACAGGCTGTGCACGCCCTTGCCACACGACCAGATAGCAAGGTCGTGGCTGTTGGCAGAGAGGACGGCGACGTCGAGCTGACCGTCCCGAGCGAGGGATATCGCGTAGAAGCCCGCGTCCCGGGGCAGAAGAACAAAGGGCTGCGGTCGTTGGCTTGGACAGGGGGTACGGGCGGCGATGGTGGCGTAGAAGGAGACGACGAGGGTAGCACGGCGATAGCCCGCTTGTTCGGCTGCGGGCTCGATGGCACAGTGTTCGAGGTCGACCTGTTGAGATTGTGCTACAAGAACGTCAGGGACGCGTACGGGGGCGCGGCCTGGTGTATGCGGCCGGCGGCTCCCCTTGATCTCCTCGCTGTGGGCTGCGAGGATGGATCCGTACGGCTGTTCTCGACGGAGGGGGGTGGCATGGAGTACAAGAGGTCGTTTCCCTCAACAGGGTCGCGTGTTCTCTGTCTGGCATGGGGCCCAGCGAACGACGTGATCTTCGCAGGCTGCCTGGACTCCATGATCCACTGCTTGGACGCTACGACAGGGCAAACGTTGGTGAGTTGGCGAATGCGATTCGACGTACCGCAGCGCTGGTTTTGGTTCTGGTTGCCGAAGTACGTAAGTCGTAGCATGTAACGGTATCACCTTGCAGTTCGGGGCTGTAGGGCGGTGCACTTTGAGCTAACCCAACTGTGGTGTTGCAGACATCATGCCGTCCATCGGACCTTGCTGCTGTAGTCTAATCACGCCGCATTCACGAACCGGCGCCGACCATACGATTGGCGCACGTGATTTCATGGAAATATCTAGAAGAGCAAGAACAGCAGTACCTGGTAGACAACGCACTGTTGTATGCACACACAAGTACACAGCGTACACAAGGATGTGGAGGGTGATGGCGCCTGCCGCTTGATTGTCGATCAGTGCCCGCTCACGTTCTTGGAATGTTCTTGGGGTTGCCACTAGTAGCAGCAGCCACTGCTGCTGTTGTTATCGCAACAGCAGCACTCTTTGAAGGGGCGAAGCTGACCTTCCGCTCCCTCTCCCGCGGTTGGTTTCTGCTGTTCCGCTGTTCCGCTCCAACCCGGCAGTGCTGTGAATGTGGCCTTTTGTGCCGGCCGTTGGGCTTGCTGGCCTCGTACAATAATGCCTGCGGCTGCGGCACATGAGCTGCCATGTATTGTTCTATTTAGATGGCACCCGCTAGCAAGTTCGGACACGTTTTTGAGGCGATACACTGCACACGGCTTTTTGCTTGGTTACGGTAACTCTATCTGTCCTGCTCGATTTGACAGTTCGACATGCGGCTGGAGAGGGGACGGAAGGAGGATGCCATTGTGTGGGCTTTGGAGGCCCTGTCTGATGGAACGGTGGTCAGCGGTGACTCTTGCGGCAGGGTTCAGGTCAGAACTCAAGGCAATCACGGCGCCGATGTGAATCTTGGCGCCTTTGCCCGTGGTCGTTGGTAAACTGTACCTCTTGTAAGGCCGGGGTTAGGCCGGAGTTTTTAACGGGCACTCGGCACAAGTCATTCAGACTAAAAGACAACACGCGATTTCACCCTCCTTATTTAGGCGACTAGCCCTATTTATGCGGTCTTATACAGGGCCCACTACTGTACTTGAGGCCACAACTGGGGGGCCGGGAAGCCGTTGTGGTTTGCTCGAGTCGAGTAGAGGTGCCGTGAAGTGCGAAATGATGCCGTCGCTTGAATATCAAGACGATCAATGGCATACCCGTGTGTGCTGTCGATCCTCTACGATACCTGGTTGCTTCGCAGCACCCTGCAGTTTCGACGAAGTTGCTTCCCCTACCCGCCCCGCGCAGGCTGTTACAGAAGCTCACCATCGATGATGCACCACCCATGGGGCGACTGTTGTCGGCCGACGTATGGACGACGGCAAAGATGCTCACAGACGTCATGGTGGCGAGAAGTTGGAATATTCTTGTGTGTAGGGCTCTCCGAAATAGTTGATTCGACTGATACCTACTTAGAACCCGCTTCCCGCTCCTCGTGAGGGAGAAAGGGACAACATATCTATATTCGTTCCAGGAAGGGCGTGTTGTTTTTTCTCGTGACGTACATGCTATTGTCATCATGCTAAGCTGAGCTGTCTCCTCCGCGAATCGCTTTGGAATGAATGTTAGCACGATTGCCACATCTTGCTTTGATTCAGGTGTGGGATGGGCTGACGGGAACACAGCTGCAAAGTCTCACGACACACGAGGCCGACGTGCTCTGTCTTTGCGTCGCGGAAGGCGAAACAGAACTGTTCGCATCGGGGTGTGATGGGAAGGTAGAGTGACGTACACATGCCTTAACGACTACTTTGGTCAACGAATATGTAGATAGCAACAATATTCAAGATACGTAGCAAGATAAGGTAGATGCCGCCACTACTGGGGCCAAAACCCGCGGGGGATGCTGTTCAGTTGGCTCATGTGGTCGTGCCAT